ACCAAACGTCCCTAAACACCCTAAATATATTTGCTTTTCTTATAAAATTGTAGCGTCCAAGAGTTGTTGGTCTAGACAACGAAGCAGAGGTCCCTGTCTGTTTCCGTATCCTGCCCTAATCTCCTTGCTCTCCGGCCAGGAAGAAAATGACAAAAAGGAGGGATAAACCTCAGGGGTAAATCAAAAATTAAGCAGCCCAGGTGCCCGAAGACAGCTGGCACAGTGCCTACCTTCGTTGTGCTATGAAGGTGGGACACCAGGAGAATCCACCCTTGATGGGCGGTGGACTCTGCCACAAGGTAAGTATGAGGAGGGAAGGGGGAGTGGGGGGAGGGAGGTATATATAGGAGAGGGATAGTGGTGCCAAGGCTTTGTGAATTTTGGCCGACAGGAAATGATAGGGTTGAGGGTTAAACATTAAATGAGAGTTGCCGAGCTGGCGTGCCCGGTAACGTACTCGTGTATGATATTGGACCGGGAAGCGGATCAGACGGGGAATTGAACCAGCTAAAATGCACCAAAAAAGTCGAAATTTAAAATTCTCAATTAACGCCTGACACTAGGCAGACGAAATACTGCAGTGGAGGAGGTATCCCAGATAGAACGTTGTTCTAGATTTGACCTTTTTTGGGCTAAATTCGGATGTTTGGTTTTGCGGAAATTTCTGCGGTGGGGTTTGAGCAAAATTCACATACAAAGTGATTCACTTCCTCGTCTGATCCGCTTCCAGGTCCATTAATGGTTGAGAGCGATGCGCTTGTAGTACGAAGGAGATTACTGATTTATTGGTTGTAACAAATTTCGCTTTTCTCCCCTCAAACACGATGAGGAATACAAGATAGAGAAAGAAAAAAAAAAGAGAGTTTGAATATAGGGGTTGGGGCAGATTGGGAGTTATCTAATGGCTCTACTCGCAATGCCGAAGCGTTTTTAAGGGGACCACTATTGCATATCACTAAAAATTTGCCCTTTTGCTCAGATCTTCTGTGGTATGAAATAGCAGTTCTTTTTAAAAATACTTTGACACTACGGGTACACGGGCGAAGGCCTTTCAGTTTGCTTGCTACTCTTAGGTTTGCCGAATGTTATCGTAGTAAACGAGAATGGCGAAAGATTTGATCCCAGTTATTACTATGCTTGGGGCGCTCTTCATGATCGGGAAACACTAGGAGGTATCAAGTGGTGGGAGGTTGATGTTTATAGGCCTCCATCTCGGGTGAAATGGATTCCTCCAATTCGGAAATATTGCTTGGACAGATCAATCGGTAGTGCTATCTCGTGGTCTGGATAAAGCTCTTGAAATATTCATTGCTCAATCATTAGCTTTTTAGCCCAGTCCACCACCACTCAGCAACCTTCCCCAACATTAAACCCCAAACCCTATCATTTCCTGTCGGCCAAAATTCACAAAGCCTTGGCACCACTATCCCTCTCCTATATATACCTCCCTCCCCCCACTCCCCCTTCCCTCCTCATACTTACCTTGTGGCAGAGTCCACCGCCCATCAAGGGTGGATTCTCCTGGTGTCCCACCTTCATAGCACAACGAAGGTAGGCACCGTGCCAGCTGTCTTCGGGCACCTGGGCTGCTCAATTTTTGATTTATTCCTTGGGGCCTTGCTTCCCTCCGTCCTCATCGTCTCCCTGGCTTTTATGCGATGGGACGAAGAGTATTTAAAGAGGTATTTTTTTTTATTCCTCCGATCCGTAATAGATCCTGGTGGTGGAGACTCCTGTTGATACTGCTATTTATTTATTTATCTATTTATTTTTGAGCAAACGTGCTTTCACATGGTGTGGAGGGTCGCTCGGGGCTCATGCACTATAGTGGTGTTATCCCTCACCATTCTCCACAACCCCTATTTCTTTCTATGGTGTCATAGTTGGGGCGCGAGGAGATTAGAGCAAACTTAACAGCGGCCCGCAGTAGTACCGTTATCATAGTATAGGCTCTGTGCTCATGCCAATGTTGTGACTAGGCGTCACAGCCCCCAAATCCTCGCTTGCTCGCAAACGGGAGTACTCATACTGAGCGCCCGACAGCTCAACATAGAAAGATTTGTGCATTACGGTCTGATGATGATAGGGTCACAGTCGCGCTCTGCAGCTATTCGAGTAATACACAAAATACGTCGGAATATTTAACCATTGCGTTGCTGACTATGAAATAGTTATATATCATTTTATGCAATTTTAACTTTATACGGTGGTCAAGATAGTACGAGTACACGGAGCCATAAACTCATATTGAGCTGTAAAGTTATGTTGAGTTGTCGGGCGCTCAATATGAGTGCCCCCGTTTGCGAGCATTCGGGGGTTGTGACGCCCGGTCACAACCTTGGTGCTTGTGATACTGCAGTTAGTCTATCATACTCGTAATGTCCTGACATTTGTGAACATGACCAGACTTGCATTAGTGTACATGAGTATGAATTAGTGTGTATTTCAGGGGTAAACCAATTAGAAAGAAGCAAGTTATGAATTACTAAACACTCATTATTACACAATGTTCACAGGGATAATAGTAAATCATAACATATTACTCCTATTATTCTTTACAATTTAATAAAAAATACCACCTCAAGGACTGATAGCTTCTATGAGTGAAAGAGGCCAAATTATGGGCTGTGCCATGTTAGATAGTTCCAAAAAGATGACTCCATGATGAATACCAGAGAGGACTGGTGTTCTAAGTAGCACCCGCTCTAATATTATCCAAATAATGCAAGAACGACTAAGTGAAAGTGGTATCACCTGAGGATCAAGATTACTTTCCCAATACATTTATTCCTCATAGAGCGAACTAGGATTATATCGCCTTATAAAGCCTCTCACTGCCAATGCTTACCTATATAAGGAAGTTCATAATCTTTAGGCAATAGAATGATAGGATTTTACAACTAATGTACCAGTATTCAAAAATCCCCCTAATCCACGCTCCCATTCCTCGTGTCTCAGCACCAAAAATGGCACCTCTTTCGGAATAGCCCCCGCCGACCCATAAAAAGTATTGTCTTGGAGCCGCTTTCTAAAGGGATGCATACACCACCACCTGAAATGGAGTAATAAATGTCATGAACTTTGATAGCAATATTTTCCGACCCCGACACTCTATCAAGCTTTACATGCTGCTTTGTTTCCCAATTACTACCAATAAACTTATATTGCACCATAGTTTGCTTCATGTAGTTCCAACATGGTTTGATTTCATTCATTTCAGGTGAATTTCGCGGCCAGAAATAAACACGTCTAATTCCTTATGTATGAGACGATCGCTCTCACGGGATATTGGTAACTTGCCACAAGGACAGTCTTTCAAGGAGCTCGAACTCCATACTATTTATGGGCTCGGGGGTGCCATCCCAAAAGAGGTGCTCATTCTTGGTGTGAGAACACGAGTACATACATCAACAGCCAAACAGACCGTTATCTCCTTAGCACAGACAAACCCCCTGTTACTTGTATGCATAAATTCCTAAGTTAGCATCGACATTCCGGATAGTTTTTACCCCCCCCCCAAAAAAATCATCTTACGAGTGCCCAGCCTTCCTATTCAAATCCCCCTCTGCTCCTCCTTCAGTCATATTACCCCAGCGTTTTTCTCCCACGATACACATACTAGGCTTTGGGAAGGACTCAGTAAACTCCTGACCCTTATTTTTTACTTATTTAACTCGGGGAGCTCTTGCTCTCTGATCTCATTTTTCCTCCACCCCCTTCCAGGATACTGAGCGGGGGGAGGGGCGAAGGTAAAATATTCAATAACACTCCTCCCGTGGCTGGCCGCCTTATGCAGCATGGCCTGTCACAGTACTCCTCCCCTGATGTCAAACCTTCAACCCAATTATTTCCTGTCGCCCAAATTCACAAAGTCTTAGCACTCTATCCCTCCGATATAAATACCTCCCTTTCCCCGCTCCATATTCCCTCCTCATACATATGTACCTAGTGGCAGAGTCCTCCGTTTATGGCTGGTTGGATCCCGTAGTATCCTACCTTTATCGCACTACGAAGGTAGGAGCTACGCCAACTGCCCCCGGGCACCTGGGCTGCGCAATTTTTGATTTTCCCTTGAGATCCATTTCTCCTCTTTTCTTATGATATTTGCCATTGCTTTTTTGAGCCCAGGGTGTGGAGGCAAAGCCATTCCTGAGAGAAGAAGAAAAACCATAATATCTATGATAGCCATAGCGTGTTGTCTGAATTACTACACCTTGAGGGTCAATGCACTGCCAGTGATACTCTCCCCATGTTACTTAAAGAAATGAGCAAAAGATAAAATGGGGGGAGCAAGACATGGTGTGAAAAATAATAATAAACTACCTCTAGCAAAACGTATACTAAAACATATGCACAGAATATCTCCCGTCAGCCAACAACTCTTGAGACCAAACGAGGAACAAACGCTCCGGTAATTGCATGGACAGATATCAGAGATCTAAAGCTAGAAGAAATAACGAAAGATAGTGAAACCCCACGAACACCGTGCATGCCCTTTAAGCACAAAATAAATCCATAGCGGCCGAGGTCCCGGATGCTCTTCCAGAACAAGATCCATACTTCCGAATCCATCACCTAATGGATCCTGCACCGCGGACTGTCTAAACACGAATTTTAATAGTACCATGTTATATAAGAGGTCGAGCTATCAGATGCAACTGCAGAGATAGCGTGGCAGTAACAATTTAATTAAAGCAGCAAGTTCCTGGGCTCAAGAGACCCCACAACCGAAAGAGTGCTCCGAAAAACCCCAGCATTTGATAACCTAGAATCACTCGCAAAAAGTCCTCGCGAAATAGATGAGCTCTTTGGCAGGGAATACAGTGGTCTAGTGGGGGGTATTGCGCAATTGGTATCCGTGTGGGGGAGGTGCCCGTTCCACGGGCAAAGAGAAATTCCATTTCACTAAGACTCTTGTCCAGTGGCTGTATATCCATCCTATGATACAAAATAAATTTACTTCTCCAATAACCAAAAATAACGCCTCGAGTAGCAGCCCCCTAAACAAACGGCATCAAAGCCTCCGGGAGGATTCTAGAGATCGAAGCACCATCTGGAGGCTCGATGCTCTGAAAGTAATTTCCCCACCAGGGCCCAGCAGCCCACCAAAGAGCCCCTGCAATCAAAAAGTACTTCGGTCAGCAATCATACTCTATCACTCAGGGAACAAATAAAGTCGCACCAATCCAGACACCGCCGGCCTGTTGCATGTGGCACAGAGCGCCATATACAGCGGCGATGCATGCATCATTACTTCCAGCACCCATTTCACCAAGGAATCCCTTCTTCCCGTTATGTTTGAGCCAGTTCGTAGTGGCGGTAAGTCTCTCGGCACCAATAGTTGAGGATACACAATTCTGGGAGGTTCCGGAAGAGTCGCCGTCAAGATATTGATGCATCTCTGTTACTGCTTAGCAGTGATTTTGAAGGATCCGGGAAATTGGAAGACTTACCGAATGCGATGTTGTCGTTAGGGTCCTCTAGGTCGATCATGCTTGCTGCGTTACCACTGGAAACCCAGGACCAAGCGCCGGTCCACGAGTTGCCCTCGACCAAGATCAATTGCGAAGTGGCGCCGGCAGCACGAATTCCGTTAATACAAGCTTGGTTAAGGTTGAAGACGAGCTCCTGGTCCATGTCGTGGTATTCGTTGTTGGTATCTGCCTGAGTTAGAGTGCGAAATATGGGGCTTGAAGGATAGAGTAATACCGAAAATGATATTGTAGTCCGACTTGAACTCGCTGGCGATGTTCTTGCACCATTTACCGAAGGCAGCGGTATCGGTAATTATTGCGCCATTGTAGCGACCGTAGTTGTGGGGATCGATGATAGCATGCGCTCCCTTTCCGGTGATGTAGGTGGCAATCTATAAACCTGTAAGCTACTCACTTGCTCATTTCCACACCACAGTAACGAACATTCTTCAAGGCTGCAAGATATGTAGCATCCATGGTTCCAGCTAAACCTTGGGCAGGCGGAACCAACCTCTCCATCGAGAATGGAATACGGAAAGTATTCATCCCGAGGTCGAGGAAGTACTAAGTGACGAATCAGCATCCCAAATTTCACAGAGACCTGCCACCGGACACAAACATCAATACTGCTAGTTTTAGGCCAGGTGTAGTGGGTCCCCAATTGGCCGGGAATAACACTGCCAGCGAACTCAGCGCCAGCCTGGTTAACTATTGATCTTCGTTAGCTCATCAACCGTGAATGAGGGAGGGGCACAATCACCCCCAAAGTACTTGAACTTGGTTGCTCCTGAGCACGCAGAGCCAGTATCGCTGGGGGTGGGTTTGGGGTGATCTGACCCTTCTATCAGCAATCGTAAAACCCAAGGTGGAGATCAGATTCCCGTACAATCGCTCGTCGTCGTTGTAGTAGGAGTATATCCGGCATCAGAAGTTGTAGGAGTATATCCGGCATCAGAAGTTGTAGGAGTATATCCTTCAACAGGAGTCGTAGTAGGAGTATACTCAGCAACAGGAGCTGTAGTAGGAGTATATCCGGCATCAGAAGTTGTAGGAGTATATCCTTCAACAGGAGTCGTAGTAGGAGTATATTCAGCAACAGGAGCTGTAGTAGGAGTATATCCGGCAACAGGAGTTGTAGTAGGAGTATATCCAGCAACAGGAGTTAAAGTATTAGCGTAATCACCGCCGCCGCCGCCGCCACCACCTAATATCCCATTAGCATTCTAATCAAAAACCAATTTAACAAAAAAAACATCAAACATACAATAACCTGCACCCTGAGCAGAAACAAGTGTTGGCAGCGAAGCCACCACAGCAGCAATTGCAACAGAAACTTTCATGATCGATAGATCACGAAACAGAATAAAAGAGTGGACAGCTATCACAGATGGAGCCGATGATTCTCCATGAAGAGGGAGGGGGAGTCAAGCCATTTTATATCACACTCCTTCTCTCATTTCTTGGGAAACTACCCCCTCCCCCCCTCACTCCTGAAGATATATTAACCAATCCCGAATCCCAGGCACAAGGAAGCTTTTAAAAGTAATTTGACGGCACGACGAGAATTTCTCCCGAGAGGTCAACCTTAAGTATACCTAAGCTTAAGCCGAAATTGCCTGCGGAAACGAAATCCTAGGATGTAATGAGTGGTGGTCGCACACAATATGGGTCCTTGGAGTAATTGGGAAAAGTAGACATAGCTGTTGAGAAGGTCATGACCTGCAGAAAGGCTGAAAATTGTCAGAATGTGAAAAAATAGTTATAGTAGTGGTATAGTAGCTCGTCAAGTTGTCGCTTATCCCATGGCAGGTCTCCTTGAGATTAAGTGTGAATAGATATGTATCATATTCAAAAAGTAGTTTCCCCTCACTCGGAAAAGCCACGGAATCCCCCAATGTTTCTCCGGAGAAGTTTGGCACGCCCTTGAGGCTAGACTACCAAGAGAGCTCGTTTTCAGGAATTGGAGGCCGAAGACTCCGTGAAACCAGGTAATCTTATCCAAGGCAGATTATAGTGTCCAAGTTAATTGGCATTAGCCAGCAGCGCTAAGGCTATCGTTTGACGACAAACGGTTGTTTGAGGGCGATGCCTTGGGGGGCCACTGAATGAACCAACCAACCTACCGCTTTCCCTTGTTTATCGTGTGAGTGGGGTGTTTCCTTATTTTATATTCAAGGCTCAATCACCTTTAGCCAAATATCACCCTCTAAATGAAACGACCGAAGTTAAATTTGAGAACCAGCACCATACTACTGCCGGTACACACTACGATAGCGTCGCTGTTTCGCCATCGGCTCATGAACCGTACGTCGGTATCATTACCGAGAAAAACAATCTACTCGGCTATTGTATCCCTCGAGCCCTCACTCTCGAATTGAATAGTGCAATAGTATCGCAACCTGAGGAGAAGAACGATTCACTCCTCGGGGTCAATAATTCCATTGGCCAGGTTACCATTGGGTAGCCAACGTCATGTTTTCGCGAGCCTGGTTTTTGAAGGTCGTGAAAGTGGGGAGCGAATTACGGGATTGTTCAATGAATTTTCGGACAGCGAGGTTTACAACAGTAAAGCCGTTTTTTGTCTTTTTTTTCCCGGGATAGGATCTATAAAGGCTATTACAGCAAGGAAACTATTTTAGCCATGTTATAATAGGAGTTTTTGTATCTGTGACTTAGCGGTTGCACGAACGGTGGTTGATATCGTATTCCTGGTATCTCCCTTGGGTTAGCCTACTCCATTATTCGTTTGTACTCTAGGCTTATTAGAGAAAGATTTAGTGTAAGTTAATCTCGGTCTAGACAGAAATACCTTCCGAAAGGATGGGGAACAAAGCTTTGTTTATAAAATTCTGAAGGGTTGGATCACCATGTCCAGTAGTTCAATAAAGTGTTTACACGAGTCTCGCCGTGCTCAACTTTGTCCTCAAGTGAAACAGAGCCCGGGCAAGCGCAGCAACAGTAATTTATCTATATTGGAGCTCCGCTACGCACAGTAGGGATTAAGTCCAAGCTATTACCGAAGTGTTGTCCACGCTGAAAGTCTTGCTCGCATTTCGCACGATACCGGGGCCGACTACGCCATCTACTCTCAACGTATAGATAAAACTTTCAGTGATGTTAAAGGAAACACTCCCAGGATACACATCCAGGCCTTAAGAAAGACATAATTCCTTCTAAAAATCCATAATTCTCTTGACAGTATACCCCTAGCATCCACACCAGTGAGAGATAATTGAATGAGAGGAAATACCATTTTGACCTAACGCGCCGTGGACAAACCTACAGGATACATGAGAACTTAGCTAAAGGTTGAAGTTCAATGACAAAAGCCCCAGCCCCACCTACCTCCTGTAAATCGAGCTCTCCGGTAGACCTTGAAATTGAAACTCCAAGACAATATGTTAAGGTTATGATAAGTGCCCATCTGTTAGTATACATAAATCCTTGAAATCAGATGAACTGATTCCCCCGACAGCCGCAGTAAAAGTCAAGCCACGTGCAATTCCTATCCCTGGAGCTACTGGGATTGTTTCCAGTAATCAGTGGTCTGCGGGTGGCGGGTGAAATCTAACCTGGACTACAAACTTTAACAGAAAGACACAGCAGACATTACCCTGTTCACTCACAGGAGAGTCGTTGGGAGCTTGAGGCCAACGAAAGAAAAACTTAGATAAACTCACCGTTTAAGATACCTTGTCAACCTACCAGGGTTTTCTCATGTTCACCAGAGGCTTATCCGCAACCACGACTCATTTGCAACGTAATTCGCTATGCGTCTTCACAGACCCGCGAGGAAGTAGAGTAGGGACACAATTATCTCCATACTCCGGCCCTCACAAAGGACTCAAGTAGGATATAACTCCAGCACGACAAAGCATCTCCTATCACTCTCGCAATTCTCAGCCCACCCTACATCTTTTATGTCAGAGTTTTAGGCAGACCTTCCCGTATGCGGATATGCACTTTCTACTTTATTATTCAATGAGGTGCGCTTATGTCGCTCATGGCTATGGCTCGCAGCCGACGGTCGCCCACAACCACTGCAATCCCATTCTCCCCAGGCAATCTACATCTGAATCTCTTGGGTAGGCTTATTATTCCATCCAGTGAGGCAATAGTCACAAAATCATTAACCCCACGCTAGTGGGATCAACAACTCATTCATACGCCATCACTCGGTATTCCAGCATGTTTCCACCGGGTCTAGAGCCATTCCCCTATAATATTGGTGCTTAATCCCTCTTGCTCCCCGTAACTAGCAGTCCTAACCATTTCATCTCAGAAAAAAAAAAATACTCCATATCCTCACATACGATCAACAAAAACGCAAGCGCTGTAGATAGGTACAAGGTCGATGTCTGGAGTTCTCCCAATATAACCTATCGTGGGGATTTGGGCACATATTTCAACGTCCCAAAAACCTCCAACGGAATACCTTCCAGCTTGATCACACACAGTCATTGAGATCCCTTCTGGGAGAAGCAAAACTACGGCCAAACTCACTTACCGCACCAGGAGTACCCTATACTATATCCTCTATACAGCCACCCCCGCTTTCCAGGATGGCCAAAATCTCAGGATCCCATCCGATCCAGGGATGCGTACGGGGCAGCGAAAGAGGAAAGTTCGTTACATAATACGTACAGCACAATAGGTTTTCCCCACCAATATCAATAACTTTTATTAACGACTTTTACTCTAAACAGTCTGGTTGAGACTCCCATGGCTTCTCTCCTCCAGCCTAATAGTCGGGGAAAGCAAGTGTGACGCCCAACCTTTTTTTTTTTTTTTTTCACAGGATAGGCTTATATAATACAGATTGTCAACTACATATCATACTACCCAGTACAATTAAAGTGATTAATTCACCGTTACAAAATAATACAAATGAAATCCTGAAGTTGAAAATATATAATAGAGAAGGGAGTTTATGGAAGCACTATCATACTCGGAGTGATGGAGAAGATTTAGCTGATATATCAGGTTCTTATTCTCCTTGAATGATATATTATATGGTTCTATGAGAAAAATGATAATCTTTCTTGCCTTGGTTAGAAACGATATAGCCTACTAGCATATACAGATCATAGTGGGTGGTTGATAACCTTTATTATGCAAGCCTATCATAGGAGAAGAAGAAAAAAACTGAGCGTCACACTTGCTTTCCCGTCACACTTTCTTTCCCCGACTATGAGCAACGTGAAATAGGAGGGGAACCGGCTATTACGCTTTCAGACCATTTTACAAAGGGAGGGAAAGGTTACATCCCCACTCTACCAAACCGGTTTTATTACCAAATTATTCTTCTTATCCTTTCTCCCTCTTCCCCTTTCGGGAATAATCAATAATCCTCCCCAAGTCCACCACAGGAATACGGTTCAGCGGGATGGAATTGGGTAAGAACCGGGGATAAGGTTCATTCAAGTTACATACGAACCTGAACGTCCTTGTTCCCCAGTTCAGGGTGTGCCCACGAGAACCGAGGAGGGAGGGGGGCGCAGAACTCCAACTATGATACCTAGCAAGATTCGCCTGCGGCTAATTCGTCAACACGAGAGTTTTCATTGCGGCCTGTTCCAAATTCGCAAGAAGGAAACGCCTTCACTTAACCTTTTATAGCCAAAACCAGGCCTAGTTTGGATTCTCCCTGATAATGTAGTACTGTACTTGTATTGGTATTGGACGTTTTACTTCAGCCACTAGGCACTTTATTTCAACTTACAAGTACCCGGGAGGATGGTTTCGCGCAAGACAGGGATTATTCCGCAGGCTAACCAAAATTAACTAACTAACCGCTAACTTTCTAGTACCATATTGCCTGCAGGCACCTAAAATTTATTTCTATTACTCGTAGCGCCAGGCGACGTACTTGTAGCACCGTACCTAATATGGCTCCACCGGATAAACTCGCCAGACTCACTGTGC